TGAACTGCCCATGTACAGAGCCGTTCAGAGACGAGATACGTTCGCAAAACGAGCCAGACCAGCTTCGGGACCTTTGCAGATTTCTCCGTCCAGGCAAGCTTCCCCCCGGGGCCCGACTCTCCGGTGGAAGCCCCAACTGGTCTTGGAAACGAGCGCAACGCAGTTAGGGTTCGGTGTAAAGAGGGGAAGACGATCCAATAAGTTTCCAAAGGTAATGCTTATACTGATGGCTCGCGCCTCAAGAAGGGGCGCCCCGTTTCTCGCGCAGCAGGTTTCGCGGCGGTGATGATCGATGACCAAGGGGGCCTAGCAGCAGCGACTAACGGCCCTGTAGGAAGAAGGAGTCTCCCCCATGCCCCCCCCCCCCCCCCTCAGCTGGAGCACCCTGCCGCGCCTGCTGCCGCCTCGCTCGCTCCGCCTCGGTCGATTGCCCGCGTGATCGCAGATGATCAAGGCATTTTAGATGTACAGCCGAACCAAGGTATAAGATCGAGGTCGGTTCGGGGAGGGTACCCTAGTGTTCTTCGTGTTTGTTGGATGCTCTTGTGCATCCTGGGGAGGGTACCCTTGGATGTTCTGTGTGGTTGGGCTGGCGGAGGGTCTCAAGTTCTTGAGGGATGTTCTTCTGTCCTAGGTCCGACCGTATACCACTGTCCGCAGTATTTCAGGGAGCATCCGTATCCATGAGTCTTAGACGCTGGCGAAAGACGGCTGGGGCTGGCACGAGAATGTCGAGCGCCAGATTATCAAGGCATTTCAGATGTATACCCGTGTCCGCACTATTTCAGGAAGCATCCGTATCCATGGGTCTTAGACGCTGGCGAAAGACGGCTGGGGCTGGCACGAGAATGTCGAGCGCCAGATTACCAAGGCATTTCAGATGTATACCAGTGTCCGCAGTATTCCAGGAAGCATCCGTATCCATGAGTCTTAGACGCCGGCGAAAGACGGCTGGGGCTGGCACGCTAGTGTCGAGCGCAGGAGATCAGACCGCAGCAAGATCGGGGAGCGATCCCCAAGGGATCCACGGAGTGGCTAGACGCCGCGGCCAACGGTGTTGCTGGCAAGTTTGCTAGGCTAGGCGCGCAGTGCTTGTGCCGACCGTCTGCCGCTGGAGTTGAGCAGGCGGAAAAGCGGCGCGAATTTCTCAAGACGTGGCAAGTCCATGCCGCCAAAGGCCTCAGCTTATGAGAGCCAGTCGGCCCCCAAAGTGGCAGGGGGCCCTTCGTTTCTCGAGACAGGGGTGCCGCGCAGTTGGTTGCAGCTGGAGCGCGTGGCGCCCTCGAGACGTGGAACCGACCCCTCCCTCCTCCTCCTGCCCTTGAGGCTCCTCTTCCTTCTCGTCTTCGTCACATGTGGGGGTGGGGGTGGAACGGGACGCGGATTTGGGTGCACTGCAGGACGCGATGTGCGGTGAACAGGCCGCAGGGCAGGGTAGAAGAACCTTGCGAAGATTTCGCGCGAATGTTCAGACCTAGCGCAGGACCTCAAGGGCCACGCGCTGCATATCTCACCAGAGCTCTGAGGCACGAGCTACATTCTGGCGTGCTCGAACTGCGGACTGCGCGGGAGCGAGTTCAAGGGGCCAGGCGCTAGAACTCAGTGGAATAAGTTCTGCAAGGGTAAGCCCCCCAGAAGCAACTTTTCCATCCCCTCTAGGTACAGTTGCCCCCCGCGAAGTCTGGCCGATTTCTTGTTCCGTCAGCGCCAAGAGGCCATGTCCCAACAGGAGGACACCATGCCATAGGGTGGACGTATTCCGCCCCCAACCACGTGCTGAGTCTCTTCCTCCTCCTCGTCCACATTTTTTCTCCTCTTCCTCCTGTTGTGCATGCCCCACGTTGGGATTCAACCCGGCCCTTCCTTATGTTGTGAAGTCAGCGCGTTGCACTCTTCGACGATGCTTCCCACTTGTCACGCCAAGGCTTGCGCAAAACGGCTTCTCGAACTGGCGCGATCGATTCGGGCGTTTTGCGAGATGGGCTTGGCTTTAGGCGCAGTGTGTCATGTGAACTTATCGTCTTCGATGGCCTCCGATTCAACCACGAGTTACGGGATATGACGGCTATGTTTCCTTTTCTGGCATGGTCCCCCTTTTTGGGCATATTGTCTGTACGAGTTGAATATGTTGCGTTGGTTTGTGCGTCTTTTTGTGCCACTGGTTTCACTCTGCAAGCCGCATGGTAACGGCGATATTCTGACGAGTTTTGTCGGTTGTGAGATTGGCGGTTACGATGTTAAGGAAGAACACCGTGTCCAAGTTGCGTCGCCAAATCGTGATGTTGCCCCTTGCATTTCATACTTTCCTTTTCGGACCTGCCTTCTTGGAGGCAGGCCCAGCCGGCATCCAGCATCCTCCTCCCCCACCTCCCTGCCCCTCCGTCCCCTGCCCCGCCGCCTCCTCCCCATCCCCTGTCCCCTCCGCCAACCCTCCCCCTCTCCCCGCCCTGCCCCACCACTCCCCCCCTCCATCAGCGGTGCCTCCGCCCTCTCTCCCTGTCCTGCCTCCCTCCTCCCCCCCTCACCTGCCCCTCCCCCCCCCGCCCCCTCACCTGCACCTCCCCTCTCGTCCTCTCCGTCGCTCCTCCCCTCCTTCCCTCTTCTCCTTCCCCCCCTCTTCTCCCTCTTCTCCCTCTCCTCCCTCTTCTCGCTTCCTCCCCTCCTTCAATGTTTGTTCAACGACATCATGCAACCATGTTGTTTACCACCAGAGCAATGGATATGTACTACCATAAGCGTAATTTACACATCTGGGGACCCCAAGCTACCGCAGAACTATCGACCAATCGCGATCATCCCTCTCCTGTACAAGTTGATGTCCCGACTCGTGTACAATCGTCTAAGCCCTGTACTGGACGGCCAACAAAGCGTCGACCAAGCAGGCTTCCGATGTGGCTACAGCACCGAAGACCACCTTTTTACCACAAGCATGCTTCACAAGCAGTCGGAAGAATGGCAGCTACCTCTCTGGGCGGCACCTGTGGACTTGAAGGAGGCATTTGATTGTGTCAGCCATGATTCACTATGGCAGGCTCTGGTAGACCAGCATATACCCTCATCCTACATCGAGCTCCTACAGAAGTTCTGCGACAATCAAACTGCAAGAGTCCGCACAGACACGACGAGCACCGAGTGCGTGAAGCAAGGGGACCCGCTCAACTCACTTTTGTTCAACGCGCTCCTTGAACATATCTTCCGACGCCTGTAACGGTCGTGGTCCAAGCGGAAGTTCGACATACAAATGGGTTTTGCCACAGACTCCACCATTACCAACCTTCGATTTGCAGACGATATTTTATTGTATGCGCCGAATCTACGCCAACTGAAATGCTTACTTTGCGACCTGAAGAACCAGTCGTCCCAATGCGGCCTGGAACTACACCCAGACAAGACCAAAATACTTACGATTGTCACCCGGCGCCAGGGCAAAACAAGTCAAGTTGTCACCATCGACGGGGACAATGTTGAGATTTTGGAAGCGGAGCAGAGCAGGAAGTACTTAGGCAGAGCACTCACGTTTCACGGCTTCCACGAAGAGGAGTTCAACTGTAGAATTGCTTCTGGATGGCGCAAGTTCAACCAGCTGAGGCACGAATTGACTTGCAAGCTCTACCCTCTTGCTAGCCGCTTGCGACTTTTCAACGGGACTGTGACGCCTGCTGTCACGTACGGATGCACTTCGTGGGTTCTTACTAAAGACATGCTCATTACACTACCGCGGACACAACGCAAGATGATCAGAATAATAGTTGGCCCCAGCTGGAGGCGCACGAAAAGCCCCCCTGATAACGACGACCAGACGAACCATCAGGCCAGCAATTCCGAGCACGTGGAGAAAACGAATCTAGAGACCACAGCGCCTGAGAGCGACTCCAACGACAGCATCCAAGACAACGGCGACAGCGACAACGGTAGCACATCTGACGTCTGCACCACGAAGTCCTGGATCGACTTCATCCGGAGAGCAACGCACGCAGCTGACGCCCACGCCAAACGAGCTCAAATCGAATCTTGGACAACAGTTTATTTCAAAAGGAAGTCGCGGTGGGCTTGCCGCATAGCAAATCAATCTACCGACCGCTGGTCACGACGCGCCGCCGTCTGGGACCCCCCAGTACACGACAAACGACCTGCACAGAGGAAACACGGAGGACAGCGGAAAAGATGGGATCATGATATCGTTAGCTTTCTGATCTCACACAAACTGGTGGACGACACAAGGACATCCGACGACACCGGTTGCCGATGGTGGTTACAGCTTGCTTGCGACACTTGTGTGTGGCACAGATTGGAGGGACAATTTATCACGCATGCGACGGCTTCTTTATGAACATCTCCGGCACCACGGTGTAAGGGCCCCGGCCCGCCCGGGCCGACCCTCAAGGGTCCCGCTTCGGCGGACTTGCGCGCTTCGCTTCGCTTCTCTTCCCCCCCTCTTCTCGTTCCTGCCTCTCCTCCTTCCCTCCCCTCCTTCGCTCGTCCTCCTCCTCCACATCCTTCTCCTCCTTCTCCCCTTCTTCTTCTCCTCCTCCTCCTTCCCTCCCTCCATCCCTCCCTCCTTTCCTTCTCTCTTCCGTCGCTCCTCTCCTCCGTCGTTCCTTTCCTCGTTCTCTCCTCTCCTCCCTCTGCCCCCCCCTCCGCTCCTCTTCTCCTGCCCCCCCCACCTCATCTTCTGCGCCACGGCCTTGGAGGCTCCTCCAGAGGGTCTTGCACCCCCGGAAGGGTTCTCTGGGGCAGGCTGGTAAGGATTGTTTGCGAGGCCCCCTTCCCTGCCCCTCACCGTCGAAATCGATAGGAAGGACGAGCAACCTTCCCATGGGAACCCTTGCATCCTGGCCTCGGTTCATCCTACCCCACTTTCGATGGCCAGCCCCGCTCGAAAATCTTCGACATGGGCGTCCGAGGCCCTCGCATCCTCATCGCACATCCTTACTATCAGTTTTGGCTGTATTCCTCCGCCCCGTGCCCCTCCCGCTGCTCCTGGCCTGCCACCTGGCAAGGAGCAGAAGGAGCAGGCCGAGAGGCGCGCGGAGCGGATGGAGGTGCGCAAGGAGCAGGAGGCCCCCTGTGGTATGGGTGGGGTCTGCCGGAGGCCTCCTGGGGGGGAGGTACGCAGGCAGGAGGAGGGAGGGAGGACGGAGCAAGGGAGGAGTGAGGGAGGAGGGCAAGGAGGAGGGCAAGGAGGAGGAGGAGGAGGAGGAGGAGGAGGAGGAGGGGCAGGCACGAAGCGGGGGGAGGGGAGGAGGAGGAGGAGGAGGAGGAGGAGGAGGAGGAGGAGAGAGGAGAGGAGGAAGGAGGAGGAGGAGGAGGAGGACGAGAAGGAGGAGGAGGAGGAGAAGGAGGAGGAGGAGGAGGAGGATGAGGTTGGCAGGGAGGAGGGCAGGGAGGATGAGGAGGATCAGGAGGAGGATGAAATGGAGGAGGAGGATGTAGCAGGAACGAGGTAGGTCATCGTGAGCAGGGTTGGAAAGGGATGGGACGGGTGGAGAGAGCGGAGGGCAGAAGGGCGATAAATAATATGATCTCTCTCATTGTTCCACTCCTTAATCCTCCTCCCCTCTTTCTCCTTATGCCCATCCCTCATCTTTGTCCCTCCTCACTCGTGTACTCCCCCTTCTCCGTCGTGGTCCCCTTCTTCTCCTTCCTCCTGTTCTCTCGCTCCATATCGAAAATAGCATCCCTAGTCATGCGGGAACCGGACCTCTTCCGCCGAGGTCTTGTTCCGCCAGTCCTGTTCCGCCTGGTCCTGTTCCGCCGAGGTCCTGTTTCGCCCGGTCCTGTTCCGCCCGGTCCTGTTCCGCCCGGTTCTGTTCCGCCCTGTCCTGTTCCGCCCGGTCCTGTTCCACCGGGTCCTTTTCCGCCTGGTCTTGTTCCGCCCGGTCGTGTTCCGTCGTCGCGGGTTCTCAACGTTGAGACTCCAAGATCGATCTATAGTTGGGAAGTTATCTAAAGTACGTTTAATATGATGTTTTTCGGAACGATCTCTCTCGCGGGCACGCAAAAATAGTTCGATCTGAGGCTTTTGCTTAAAATTGGTTTGGTGCCCCAACCGGGAGGGGTCAATATCCTTTGCCAGCAGCAACGAATGACAATAATGATGCCGAAACGTTCCTTTCAAAGCATGCGCACGATCGGTTGGCCACAGAACTTGGCGATGCATGCCAATGAGAACGCCCTCATGGATCTCTGTTGGCCTCTCCTTCGGCCAAATGCAGCTGCAGATCCACCGAAATCCTCGTCCCTATAGTTCCAATGTTTTGCTGGTTCGCCGCCTTCCATGCAGAGCTCCAGAAACATGTGCATTTTAGGCTTGATTTTGAAATGCGTAGGGGGCGCGTCTTCCAAAGCGGCCATTTGCGTGGCAAACTTCATTGAATGCCAGCGGAGAATATCCACAGCAAACGGGCGGTTGTCAGACAGCGCGGCGTAATACCGACTCCAGTTTTTTCAACCCCAGCGTGAAAAGACGATTCTACAGCTGCCCGCTGGTCGGCGCCATCCCGACGATCAAGGAATGCATGCGCAATCTCCATCGCCCATAGAACCATGTGCCTGAGCATCCCCGCGCCGCGCCTCATCTTAGCTGTCTTCGCTTTCTTCCCTTTCACGACGCCCCGCGTCAGTTTCGGTAAGCGGCTGGTCTTCTCACATGGCGGCTGCCTGTCGTAGAACGCCATCAAATGTCGACGCAGCGCCAGCGCGCGGACTTTCTGGTTATCTCCAGCAACCTTTCTGCGCGTTGCGAGGTGCCAGACCAAGCCGCCGATGAAGTCAGCCGCCAAGGTCAACGACGCGCAGCCAGTCTAACTTCAGCAACTTCTCGTTTGCATGCGGCGCTTGCAAGAGAAGGCGCGCAGCCCCGCCTGAAGCGATGATGTTTCCAATGGTTCCTGGCCATGAGCGGCGGCGCGTTCTCTGCGGCGCGTCTCTCCCGGTCTGCGATTTCACCTGAGCGGGCTTCTGAAAACGATGGGGCGCCACCTCCTCCTCCGCTTCCGCCCCCTCCTCCCCCTCCTCTTCCTCCCCCCCCCTCCTCCTCCTCCTCCTCCTCCTCCTCCTCCTCCTCCACAATTATTCAATATGAATGCTACTCTCCCTCTTCCCCTGATGGCGGCCAGGGAATATTCGACCCCCCCCGCGTACCTTTTTTTGCACAGGATTCCCGGGAGTTGGGTTTTCGCTCGCGTATATATATAATTATATATATATATATATATATATATTTATAAAAATAATGCTGCTCTCGCTGAGGCGCCGGCCTCATTTCTGCTCCCGAATCGTTCCGAATCGTGCTCCCGCTGCAGCGTGGGCCTCATTTTCGGATCGGTGTTTGGCCTCCGTCGTTCAGGATGGCGTTCTCGCCCCAGCGCGGGCCTCTTTCTCGCGCGCCCATCCGCCCGCCACCACCGCGCCGCACCACGCCCCGCCCCGCCGCACGCACACCCACCGCCACTTCCACCCACCAACGCACGCACGCACGCACGCGCACCACCACCGCGCACCGCCACCACCACCGCACTACCCCACCCGCCACCACCGCGCTACACCGCGTCACACCACATCACACGCGCGCGCACACAGACACACACGCACGCACGCACACACACACATACACACGCACACACACACACACACGCACACGCACAAACACACACACACACACACCACCACCGCCACCACCACCACCACCGCCATCACGCATGTACGCACCTGGCCGACCGCCAAGCCACCAAGACGCCACACCGCGTCACACCACAGCGCACGCGCACGCACGCACACACACACACACACATACACACCACCACCACCACAACAACCACAACCACGCACGCACGCACGCACGCGCACCACCACCCATTACGCACACGCGCGCGGAGCCGCAGGTCCGCTACGACGCGCGTCCGCGGATAGAAAAAAACAGTGCCATGGTAAGGGATGGGAGGGAGGGGTAGGATGTCAGATGTTGACGCGAGCGCACCTAACTTGTCCTCCTCCCCCTCCTCCTCCTCCTCCTCCTCCTCCTCCTCCCTCTTCCTCCGCCCCCTGCCCTCCCTATTCCTTCTCCTCGTCCTCCTCGTCCTCCTCCCCCCCTCCCTCCCTCGTCCTCCCCCTGACCTCGTCTTCCTCTTCCTCCCCCCCCTCTCCCCGCTCTTCTTCTCCTCCCCGCCCCTCGCCCTGCGGCGTGGGCCACGGTCGACGATCCTTATCCCAGAGGGGGGCGCTGCCTTCCAGGGGCCTTCGGAAACCCAGCGAATTCCTACAATTGCAAAGGTTCCTAAGGATTTCATTCGGAATCCTTAGGAATGCCTAGGAATCCTTAGCAATCCCTAGCGAATCTTCAAGAATCCTTGCGCAAACCGAACGCCTTGCCCGTCTGGGTGTCTCGTGAAATCCTCAGGAGCCGCTGCGAATCCTTGCGATTAGCAAGGGCCCTAAGGATTCCACCACCTCGGAACTCTTAGGAATCAGAAGGCATCCATGGAAATCCTTGGGCATGCCCTTAGGAATCGTTAGGAATCCGTAGGAGTGCTTAGGAATGTATGGGAATTCGTCGGAATCCATAGGAATCTGCAGAAATCCGTAGGAATGCCTCGGAATCCCTCGGGATCCCTAGGATCCCATATGCATCCCCAGCGGATCCTTAGGAATCCATCCGCATCCTTAGGAAACTGTGTAGGAATCCGGATGAATCCTTAAGAATCCCTCGGATTCCCAAGGGATCCGGAGGATTTTTTGTTGTTGAAAAAATCCCTTGGAATCCGTAGGAACCATTCGGAATCCGTAGGAATCCCTAGGAATTCGTGGGAATCCTTAGCAATCCTTAGGAATCCGTAAGCATCCGAAAGAACCATTTGGAATCCTTAAGAATTCATAGGAATCCCTCGGGATCTTCAGGAATCCGTCGGAGCGAATCCTGACAATTTGCACGGATTCCTTACGATCTCACTACCTAGGTACCCCTAGGAATCCTTAGAAATCATTCGGAAACCCAGCGAATCCGTAAGAATCCTTGCGCAAACCGAACGCGTTGCCCGTCTGGGTGTCTCGTGAAATCCTCAGGAGCCGCCGCGAATCCTTGCGATTAGCAAGGGCCCTAAGGATTCCACCACCGCGGAACTTTTTGATAATCAATAAGAATCAATGGGAATCAGTGGGAATGCCGTTAAAAATCCTTAGGAATCCATGATAATGCCGAGGAGTGCTTTGGAACCCGTAGGAATCTTTAAGAATCCCTAGAAATGCTTCGGAATCCTTCGGAACCCCTATAGGAACACATAGGAATCCCTAGCGAATACCGAGGAAGCCATTGGAATCCGTAGGAATCCCAAGGGATCCTAAGGAACCCTTTTTAGGAATCCTTAGAATCTTTGGGAGCCCTTTGGAATCTTTCGAAATCAGTAGGAATCCTTCGGGATCCGTGAGGATCCTTAGGCATCTTGATAATCCTTAGGAATCCTTTGGGATCCCGCGGAATCCCTAGCGAATCCTTAAGACTCCTTGCGCAAACCGAGCGCCTTGCGCGTCCGGGTCCCTAGTGAAATCTTCGGAAACCTGGAAAGTCCTTGCGATCTGCAAGGATTCCCAAGGATTTCACGACCTAGGAACCCTAGGAATCCTTGGGGCCCCGGTAGGAATCTGTAGGAATTCGTAGGAATCGTTCGGAATGCTTGGGGATCCTAGGAATCCAGAGGAATCCCTAGCGATTCCTTAATACTCCTTGTGCAAACCGAACGCCCTGCGCGTCCGGGTCCCTAGTGAAATCCTTCGGGAACCCAGCGAATCCTTACAAATTGCAAGGATTCCTTTGGATTTCACTGCCTAGGACCCCCTTGGACTCCTTAGGAATGTGTAGGAATCCTTACGAATCCCTAGCGAATTCTTAAAAATTGTTAAACTCCTTGCCCAAACTGAACGCCCTGCGCGTCCGGGTCCTTAGTGAAATCTTTCAGAAACCCAGCAACTCCTTACGATTTGCAAGGATTCCCACGGATTTCACAACCTAGGAACCCCTACGGATCCTTAGGACTCCTTAGGAATCCTAAAGAATCCTTGCGCAAACCGAATGCCTTGCCCGTCCGGGTCCTTCGTGAAATCCTCAGGAACCGTCGCGAATCCTTGCGATTTGCAAGGGTCCCCCAGGATTTCACTACCTAGCAACCCTTAGGAATCCATAGGAATCCATCGGAATCCCTGGGAATGCTTAGGAATCCCTAGGAATCCTTAAGGAATGCGTCGGAATCCATCGGAATCCCTAGAAATCCATAGGAATTTCCAGGAATGCTTAGGAATCCCGAGGAATCTTCTAGGAATACCCACGATTCCTTAGAAATCACTGAGACTTCATCGGAACCCCCATACGAATCCTTAGGAATCCCTTGCTAATCCTTAAGACTCCTTGCGCAAACCGAACGCCTTGCCTTTCCGGGTCGCTAGTGAAATCCTTAGGAAACCAAATCCTTGCGATCTGCAAGGATTCCCAAGGATTTTACTACCTAGGAATCCGTAGGAATCCCTGGGAAGCGTCGCGGCTTGTCGCGTCGCGGCTTGCGCGTGCTTGTGTCAAGCTCAAGCAAGCCCCCAAACGGACGACGAGGGAACCACAGTCCCCGCAGACGATTCAAGAGGGCCCCATGTTGCGACAGATCGCTCCGAAACGCCTTAATGGGCTTCCAGACTGCCCAAGAGCCCCCGAAGAAACTGTTGGACGGCTCCAAGAGCACTCTCAAGAAAGCTCCAAAAGTCATCAGCAGTATCGTCATCACCTCCTCCTACTCATCATCATCAGCAACATCCTCATCATGATCAGCATCATCATCATGATCATCATCCCAACAATCATCATGACAACCACCCCATCATCATCACCACAACATCATCGTCACCATCATCACCATGATCATCATCACTATCCTGTTCCAACCCCTCATCATCCTCCACCTTGGACAATGGGGTGCGCGGACGCACAGGACGATCGGTTCCATCATATCCGATGAAATGGACGGGGGGCCAACTTAGGCCCAAAAACCATATTGAAAACCTTTTAAAGAAAACGCCAGACAGCGCAAAACAATAGAAACGACAGAGAAACAGCATCATAATAACGGTTCGCTACTAGGGACCCGGACGCGCAGGGCCTTACCTACACTTACTACTACTACTACTACTACTACTACTACTACTACTACTTTTACTACTACTACTACGACCACTACTACTACTACTACTGCTACTACTACTACTACTACTACTACGACTACTACTACTACTACTACTCTTACTACTACTACCACCACTTCCACGACGACGACGACGACTACTACTACTACTACTA